TTCTGCAAGTTGTTTTTGAGTTTGACATGCATCTTCATCCAATAATGCTTGTAATTGTTGGTCTTCAAACTTTTTCGGTTGACCTGGACGTTCTTTGTCTTTCACATTGAAATCATCACTTTTAAAACAACGTTCGCAAGTATCTTGAGATGGAGCATGTTCACCATAAGCTTCCCGAAGTATTCAGCTGCACTTTATTTCAAAATAATGAATTAAAACTTCCTACAAATGCTCTTTTTTTTGCACAAAATTCGACATTTTTAAGTGTAAAAATATCTATGATGTTAACACCTTCAGCAAATTTGACATAAAGTTTTGAAGCTTGTTGTCAATACAACAAAATAGCATACATATCAAATTGCATGTATCAACATATGTGTAACTCCATCTATTGAAAAAAATCTGCATTATTAACCGATACACCTAGTAAATTGCTTTAAAATACCTTGGCATAAAAAAACCAGCTCCTGACAATTTACTCTGTACCATGTTAGACATTAGAATATGCTTAATAACTTTAAAAATTAAAAAAAAAATTTCCTTTTTTGTTGTTAATCCTCATCAGAGGGTATTTTTTCCCATTGATTTTTTTTTTTAGAAAGAGTGGAAGGGAGGGAGGGAGGGGGGGAGAGAGGGAGGAGGGGGGTGGGGAGATGGAGAGAGAGAGGGAGAGGGAGAGAGAGAGAGAGAGAGAGAGAGAAAGAAAGAAACAGCGATGTGAAAGAGACACATCAATTGGTTGCCTCCCACAAGATCCCTGAACTGGGCCTCTGGGGATAGAACCTGCAAACACAGGTACGTGCCCTTGACCAGGAATTGAACCCATGGTGACCCTTTGGTGCACGGGCCAATCCTCCACTAGCTAGGGCCAAAAACACAAAGTTTTATTAATGACTTGACCTCTTCTAGAAATTTTAAAATATGATAAAATAAATTATCTTTACTGACTTCATTCTACAACAATAATCTAACAATGTTAGACTAAATTCATCTTACACGCAATACAAACCAGATCATGTACACTGAAGGAACTTACGCAAAGTTAAAATATCAGGTTTAGCCTGATAACAAGGGTAGCTCTGTGAGATGTGGGAGATGAGGTTAGCATTTGGATTTAGATTCTTAAATCCTTCATTAATTGAATATGTGATGATGAGGAATATTTTATACCATTTGCAAAATGAAGATGATAATTGTACCCTTGGAATTATTTTAAAGTTATTTGTTTAAGCCAAAAACAGTTAAGCAAAAAATCTTGAAACTATAAAGCCTATACAGATACATTGTGACTATTCTGGCAATCATATTATTTTCTTTTTATCCCGTTTGTGCATGGGCCGCTAAAATAAAAATCTTAACAATTTTTTAATAAAGTTTAAAATATAAACTAAATAGCTCATGTGATTTGGATATTTTAACTGCTATCTGTCCAGAATGTTTTGACCAATTTAACTCCATTATTTTATCTAATACTAGAGGCCCGGTGCACAAAATTCATGCGGGGGGAGGGGGGTTCCTCAGCCCAGCCTGCACCCTCTCCAATCCAGGACCCCTTGGGGGATGTCGGGCCTAAACTGGCAGTCAGACATCTCTCTTGGAATCTGGGACCACTGGCTCCTAACCACTCACCTGCCTGCCTGCCTGATCGCCCCTAACTCCTCTGCCTGCCAGCCTGATCGCCCCTAACTGCCTCTGCCTGCCGGCCTGATCACCCCTAACTGCCTCTGCCTCGGCCCCCACCACCGTGGCTTTGTGAGGATGACCGGAAGATGTCCGGTCGACCCAGTCTAATTAGCATATTACCCATTTATTAGTATAGATTGCTACCCTATTATCAGTTTTCATTAACACTTAGATGCCTTCACATCTCCATTTGTCTTTTTGCTGCAGATAAATGTAAAACAGCAATTAATTATGCCTTTTAAAAATCCTGCTAATTTGATCACCTTATGCACTTATCTACAAAGGTCTTTGGTCCTCCCCACCCCCTCCATTGTTTGGTTATGATTGCCTTCATCCCATTTGTTTCATAAATCTTTCTTGATTAAACTGCAATCAACATATTCTAAAAGACATGCTGATAAACTTCAAGCAAATAAGAGTGTACCTCAGAGAAGTGCTACTATTTGCGGTAGTTTCCACACCAGTACTGATTTCTGTCATCAGGTCTGAGAGGGGAAAGTTTTCTGGAAGAAAATAATAGCATTGCAATTAATATCTCCCTTCTATTTCCCAAACAAATAATAGGAAATCTAATTTTCTAAACTCTCTACACAAGTAGGCAACAAATATTTGGACTATGCTATCCTACAATATAATCTTACAATATAAACTATTCCTCACAAATAAAGAGTTCTCCCTCAACACATATTTTTGCTAAGTTCATCTAAAGCAGATAGTTGTTAGAGAACGTGATCTGTAGTCTTTGAGGGCTTGGAAAGGGTTGTGGAGGGGCTGGAAAGCAACTATCACACTTTCCCATAAACTCTGAGCCAGATGAGATTCTAAGCTAAATATGCATTTCTAAGATTCTTATGTTGCTTATATAAACGTCACAAAGGACTTATCCATAGCAGAATTCCTAAGAATAAATTAATCTTTACACTAAATCTAGATAGTAGGGTTCCAGGGAAGAAGGTAAGGGAAGTGCTCCCCCTTCCCCAAAGTCCTGGGGTGAGTAGGACCAAGTGGCAATAGACCATTAACTGTCATACCATACCAAGCAAAACTAAAGATTTTATATCCACTAGTCTCATCAAATCTTCACAACTATGAACTAGGGAACACGAGTGTCTCCATTGAACAGATAAATACTCCAAAGCTTAAGGAAACTGAGTGGTGGAGCTGGGATGCAGACCCAGGTCTGCTGAATTCCAGTCCCAGCTTCTGGCCGCCACACCACGCCTATGCTGCCATTCCCTTTAGACCTTTAGAAAGTCATGGTCATTCTAATTTTATTTATAGACAACGTCCCTATAATATAGTACCTATATCATCATAGCGTTCCACCCAGACTACAGACACTCTTGTTTCAGGTCCAAGGGGAGGCACGGGGCGGCCCTGAGGCAGCTTCTTCATTCTGGAACTGGGACTGAGCTATATGAGGCAGAGAAAAGCAGGAGAGGAGAAAAAAAAAAAAAAGAACTGGCTTAATTAAACTATAATCATACAGTCCTCAAGCTACCCAGTGACATAAGTATCGGATCTTGGGAAATCAGTTACCTTTATTAAGTCTCAACCTAGAACAGAGGAATGAAGGCCTAACATCCTCAAAGGACCCCAATAAATTTAATAAATACATAAAGAACAAAAAATCCTCAAGGGAAAAAAAACTATATTAAACTGACAATTAATAATTGAAAATTTATGATTTGAGTTCATCTATATGGCCAGAAAGCAGTGTTTTTCCTCATCATGGTAACATCACTGATTTACCTGGAAATCCTTATCTTTTAAATGTCCCACCAGCAAGTTATTCCTCATTCTCATACCAATTACAATTGAAGCCCCCCCAAATTCCTTTGTGTTGTCAGCAGAAAGAAAAAAAGTGTTGCTCAGATCTTCACTATCATGCACAGTTTTCTTTGGCTTCCCTGCCCTCCCAGTCAGCTGTAAGTTCCTTTGAAAGGCTAACAGAACTATGAGTTTCCCCTTTAGCAAATGGCACTCTGAGTCTCATCTACTTTCAGGGCATGCATCAGACCTGAGTTTATGCTAAAGCCCTAAACAAAGTTATGTTGTACAGAAAGAAGGGAAAATCCCAAACTGAAGTTGAATTTTAAGAATAATGATGCTTGCCCTGGCTGGGTGGCTCAGTTGGTTGGAGCATCATCCCATACACCAAAAGGCTGCACATTCGGTTCCCAGTCAGGGCACATATATAAGTTGCAGGTTCGATCCCCAGTATACAGGATGCAAGCGATCGATGTTTCTTTCTCTCTCTCCCCTACTTCCTCTCTCTAAAAAAATCAATAAATATATGGGTGAGGATAAAATAATAATAAAAATAACGCTTGTACACACAAAAATATACATGTTTTTACCAGATGACCAGAGACCATGACAATTCCCCCAAATTCTTATTTCTATCATGACATTCACAGAAAATGAATGACCAAGAGATTTTCCCCAAATTAGTGACAGATACCCAGGCACTCTCAGACACTATTCTTTTAGCATCATGGCTCCTAATCAGCTTTGAATCTCTGACTTCCTACATCTGACTTCCAGCCTTAGACTTGAAAAGCTCCTGTGATTAGGTCAGGCCTACCTGGATTATCCCCCTTTTGATTACCTCAAAGTAACTTTAATCACATCCACAAAACCCCTTTGCCATAAAATGTAACATAATCACAGTCTATCTCCTCATATTCACAAGTTCCACCCACATGGAAGGGGATGACATTCTACAAGGGCAAGAATCATTGGGGGTCATCTTCGAATTCTGCCTAATACACTGACCTTTTTCCTGCTCAACTGTTTTTTTTTGCATCTATTGAGATAATGATTTTTCTTTTTTTAGTTTGTTAATTATTTAAAAATTCAGTATGTAATAAATAAAAAACAATGTGCTTTAAGAGTTTTCATTCTTTGGATTTTAAGGAATAACTAACTATGCTGGCATTCAGAAAATGAGTATAAGAACAGCCAATCACTGACTATTAGATCTGGCTAAAATCCTGCATTACTATCCAATAGACTTGTTCATCTCCCAACGTAGTCTGTAAAATCTTTTTAAATATAGCAACTCCTGATTTTCAAAATCAGTCTACTTCAAAGTGTCCTATACAACTTAACTTTTTTGCCTAAATCAATTTTAAAGGTGAAAACTCCTCCCATATACTTATGTTAAGAACTAGAGGCCCAGTGCACGTGTGCACCAGTGGGATCCCTTGGCCTGGCCTGCGGGATTGGGCGAAACTGGCTCTCCAACATCCCCTGAGGGGTCCCAGATTGTGAGAGGGCACAGGCCAGGCCGAGGGACCCCACCAGTGCACAATCGGGGCTGGGGAGGGACACGAGAGGTTGGCCAGCCAGGGAGGGACCCCGAGAGGGCTCCAAGGAATGTCTGGCCCATCTCACTCAGTCCGGATTGGCCGGACCCCAGCAGCAAGCTAACCTACCAGTCAGAGCGCCTGCCCCGTGGTGGTCAGTGAATGTCATAGAGACTGGTCGACTGTCTGTCCCTTGGTTGTCAGTGCACATCATAGCAAGCGGTTGAGTGGCCTTAGCATATCATTAGCATATTACTCTTTGATTGGTTGAATGGCCAACCAGACACTTAGCATATTATGCTTTTATTATATAGAATCATTTTCACTATGGAAGGAGCCAACGGAAGAATGGCTTCAGTCAAGTTTACACTTCTTTTTTCTTTTTTATTATTTGTTTTAAATATATTTTTATTGATTTCAGAGAGGAAAGGAGGAGAGAAACATTAATGATGAGAGAGAATCAATGATTGGTTGCCTCCTGCACATCACGTCCCCTATTGGGGATCGAGCCCACAACCTGGGCATGTGCCCTAACCGGGAATTGAACCATGACCTCTTGGTTCATAGATCAACACTCAACCACTGAGCCACACCAGCTGGGCTTATTTGTTTTAAATCAATCTTCTTATACTTGTGAACTAGTTCTGTACTCTTGATATTACTTACTTAGTCACTTTCCAGTAAGGTTTAAGAGGTAACATGAGACCCTAGACAGTTTGGCTCAGTGGATAGAGTGTCAGCTTGTAGACCGAAGAGTCCTGGGTTCGATTCTGGTCAAAGGCACATACCTTGGTTGCAGGCTCCTCCCCAGCCTGGGCCCTGGTCAGGGCACGTACAGGAGGCAACCAATCGATGTGTTTCTCTTCTTTCCCTCTCTCTTCCACTCTCTCTAAAAATCAATGGAAAAATAGCCTTGGGTGAGGATTAAAAACAACAAAAAAACTGGTAACATGAGGAGAAAACACAGATAAAGACATAACATCCATTGATATGGTAAGAAAAAAGTAAAATGCTCTCTTCTTGTAGTAGCTGCTGTGTACCTCACTCAGTGTATTCATTCATATATTGAGCTGTTCTCCAAATTGCTACCATTTGTATATAGCCAGACTTGTTTAAGTTGAATGTTGCATGATTAAAGATGTGAATTGTACAGGTACTGCTCCAGTTTTAGTGGATATTTCTGGTACTAAATAAAAACGTAGGCTTAAGAAGAAATGGGTGAGAGAACCAAACATGGTACTAGAATGGCTAAATCAAGGGAAACAAAGGCCGTCTTAGAATGAACTATTTGTTGCAAGCTAAAAAAAAGAGAACCATGAGAATTTGCTTTTAAAAATGGGGACACTAATGAATCAGTGTAACTATCGATTCCTCTCTGGGTTAAAGGCAAAAGCTTTGCAGGCATGATTCTATAATTACCCCCACTATAACTTTTTGGAGATCTAACAACGAAGTGACTTACCCTCTGTGAGGAATTAAGATTGTCTGTGTGATTAGGGAAAAGCTCAAGTGTCAAGGATGGCTGTTTCAGAATTCCTGGCATAAGATCCATATTTGAATCACTGTCTTGGTCCGAGATGTTACTTTCCAATGAATCAGCTATGGCATAAGAGAAAAAAAATTATAATACCTACTACTTGTTTGGAGCAAAAGTTTGTAAACTAATTATGCTAGTAGTCTAACCTAAGTCACTTAAACAAAGCATTACTTCTACAGCATGGGTTGGCAAACATTTTCTGTAAAGCAGGGGTGGGGAATGTCTGGCCTGCAGGCTGTATAAAGCCCTCGAAATCATTTGGTCTGTACTTGTCAAGGCATTAGGAGTGAGTTGATTGTTTGACCAAATATAGCAGGCCAATTTTTAAGTTGACAATTTTGTATGGCCCGTGAATGTTGTTATAAATATCCAAATGGCCCTTGGCAGACAAAAAGTTCCTCACCCCTACAAGGATCAAGTAATAAATATTTTAGATTTCGCTGGCTGTATAGGCCTCTATCACATCTTCTTCTTTATATTTTAATGATAATCCTTTAAAAATGTAAAAACTGCTCTTAGCATTCTGAATTTGGCCTGTGTCCTATAGTTTGCCGGCTCCTGTCCTACAGGATAACTGAAGTAAGATTTGAAAATATTTCACTTTTCAGATGTAGATATAATAAAAGCCATTTGCTATTCTCTGAATTATTCTGATTATATAGCAACCATATAGCATGGTGCTAAGCAGCACTGGGCAATCCTAGTCTCTGTGATTAAGGAATGATCTGACTGGAGGCAAACACACAGAGAACTATAAAAAACAAAGGAAGACAACTCTCAAGAAATAGGAGGAGGCTGATTTGGAGCAGGGGCACAATTGGCACAGGGGATATTTCATGATAGGAGGTGAAGACTCAACTGTGGGAACTGCTATAAGGACATGGATCTAGCTGTGGGAGAACTGGGTTGGTGCAAGCAGGCTGGGCCAGACACATAGGCAGGGACTTGGCCCAGAGAGGATAGATAGGGCCTGGCTTCTAGAATTAGGTGGTAGATCATAGCCTTGACACGAAGGCAAACATCTGCTAAGATACTGACTTAGATCATGGAAGGCCACTACTGCCAGAGACACAACTGGCCCCACAGTATGAAATAGGGAGGGGCCTAGAGTGGGAAATCAAGGGTTCAAGTAAAAGGTTAAGGAGGCTACCAAGGTAGGACCCAAAAAGTCATTAGCCTGGTGATGAGACAGTGAAAATATGATGTGTGGCATCCCATTCTCCAGATGGCCTCAATGAAGAAAAGGGTAAACCTTCCACCCACTGCTTTGTCAGGTACAAAGATATGGGCTTAATTTGTAAGAAGCAAAGGTTCTAGGAAAAATAAGACTGAGTTCTGACTGAAAAGTAATGATCATCCCTGATCCTTACAAAGAACACTTTTGATCACCATCTTTTCTAGGCTGCTGAAGTTTCTCCTGCTCAGTTTTAGATAAGCCAGAGGCCATCATGAGAGCCTTCCAATTGTAAGACTCTCTGGGTTCCATATAAAGGCTCTCACAGGAAATAGGGAAGTAGGTGGGGGCTCAAGCATAATTAGTGAAATGAATAAACTGAAAAACAAGGCTTCTATGTATTGATTATAATTAAAGAAAAACAAAATATGGGCTGAAGTGGGTCTCCTTCACTATTTAAAGAATATAATTAGAAGGTCAGTCTGCTTGTCTTTAACTACTTTTCTTTAGAAATTTAAGAGGAGCCAACATCCTGTACCTTTGCATATTCTAAAAGCTATCATGCTTTAGAAGCAGAATGCCTTAGATGACTTCAGAATCTCTTCCAATGCAATAATACTGCACAAACCAGTGAATACAAAAATAGATCTTAAAATAGCACCATACAAAAAATGCTCTTACTTAATGACTCCACAGGAGAAGGAACCACAAAAGATATTTCTGTAAGGGCATCAGCGTAATACAGCACCTTCTTCTGGCCATTGAAAATACTAGCCCCAATATCTTCAGAGGAAATCACTTCATCTAGGAATGAGAACACTATGTTACTGCTCCAAAAAGTGAAAAAAACAAATATTATCCTGCTTTGTGAAATTTTAACTGGTTAAGAAAGTGATAATAAATAGAAGGTACATTTCCAACAAGAACCAATTAGTGTATAAGAAGAATAAATTCTACATGTTCTTTAAATGTCTTCACACGAACTTTAAATTATGAAATTTTAATTTCATAGTCTCTAAAACTTCTGTAAGTCAGACCACTTCTGATTTGCAGGGCCTTTGGTTCACCTGTATGCAGCAGATTAAGGAAACAGTCTTTTTGGAAGAGGCAATGATCAAAAGAAACAAGACCACTAGAATCCCTCTGAAGGGAGCAGGCAAGTGTCCGCGTGTGTACTCTTGCTTTCAAGGCATTTTGGTTCCTGGTTTCTCTCCACTGCTCCTCAGCTCTGCTCTGTCCCCCCTTCCCCAATGGTCAGTGATATCATATAAAATGTACAGGAAGTTTTAGTAATAGTATCTGCTCTAAGCCAGCAAGATTGAATTAATAAAAGTAGCATTCCTGAGAGTTAGTATAGTTCTCCATTAAAATGAACACAATTAAAATGTCCTATCAGTAGTACATAAAAGACCAACAACCTGAAAAAAGTTGGGAAGAAATGAATAAGCAGTTCTCAGGAAAAAAAATAAAAACACGCTAAAAGATGCTAAAAACAATCATACTTTAAAATAGAAAAGTTCTCACCTAACAGATTGAAAGATATCTAATGTTGGTGAGGATGTGACAAACAGAAAATTTAGACCAGAGTAGCAGACTATTTCTGTAAGGATCAGAGAGTAACTGTAGGCCATGACTACTCAAGTCTGCTATTGTATCAAAGACAATACATAAACAAGTGTTTTGTGCCCTAACTGGTTTAGCTCAGTGGATAGAGCGTCAGCCTGTGGACTTAAGGGTCCCAGGTTCGATTCCGATCAAGGGCACATGCCTGGGTTGCGGTTGCGGGCTTGATCCTCTGTGGGGGACGTGCAGGAGGCAGCCAATCAATGATTCTCTCTCATCATTGATATTTCTATCTCTCTTTCCCTCTCCCTTCCTCTCTGAAATTAATAAAGATATATTTAAAAATAAAAAATAAAAATAAACAAGTGTTCTGTAAGTTATTTAAAATTCTAATAAAACTTTATTTACAAAAACGGACATGGGCTGTAGTTTGCTGACTCCTGGTTTAGACGCTGGGAAGGCATTTTGTACCTACTGCAGTGGATACTATGTTTACTGCTTCAATACCCACCCCACCCTCCCCTACTCTGTGTAGCAGGTGTGAACTGTGGGCAGGATTGTCTCTTCACTACCAGTTCTACCTTGTCTATAGCTCTCTTCTGAGGGTCATTCCATCTCTCCTGCCATAGCAATAGATTGGGTTGGTCCAATCCCTAAGTATCTCAGGATTTGGGAATAGAGAAGTTCAACTAATCTCTTCTATTCAGGCTAATGTGGTATGTGAATGTAGAGCCTGGAATTGCCTTTTTGCACTATGAGAGAAACCAGGCTGGGAACAAAGCCAACACTTGGAGGGCTGAGCTAAAAGAAAATTGAAGAGAAATAGAACAAGAGTGCTGATCAAGTGACAACAAAATTGTACAGTAATCTGCAGCTTTCAGTTACATGAGGCAATAGATGACCATTAAAATCTAGGCCAGTATGGGTCATGTTTTCTGTTACTTGCAACCATAAGCATCTAACTGATATATTTATCAAATTGAAAAATATGCATATCCTTTATCAATTCTAATTATGGGAATTTAGTCTATAAATATACTCAAGTTCATAAGAATATGTGGGAATTAAAATTACAGTATATCCTCAAATAATCTGATTCAAATTTGGTTGAAATTAGAAAAAAATTGCAGATCACAAGTCACAGTGGTATTCAATGGAAATCTTGAGAAACTATGATCATGTTAAAGAAGAACCTGATTATTCAAAGCATTGGACACAAGCATTACCCACTGCAAAGAGATAACATTAACTTTCCAGTGACTGCAGAAGCCCTCAGAACAAAGAACATCAGCCAGGTGGGGCAAAGGTCTTAAGTTTAAATTTAAACTTGCTCTGGTACTTGTTATCCTCATTACAGTTCTTCAGGAGGATTTGTAGAGATGGGACTGTGAATCTCTCAGAGATAGTCAGCTGTTTAAGTTTTTTGCTTTTTAATTTCCCTATTGTAGAAAATATTAAGATGTCCCCTTCCGTCCCTTAAATTACAAAGGTTTTTATATAATGTCCCAAGAATGTAACCTTTAATGATAGCCACTAAGTCTCTAAATCACACCTGTTAATAGAAAACTGTACTTATTAGGCAAAATACATTTGTTAGGAAACTGTGTTATTTGCTATAGATAATCTAAATTTATTATAATACTGTTACAGAAAATGAAATTTGTTTATTCACACTATAAAAAAGAAATTATGTTTGTGATCATTATATCAATTAACTCTATATTTATATACTAGTATAACATTTATTTATGCACAAAAATGTCTGGTAAAATATACAAACTATTATTAAGTGACCTCCTGTGAAGACTAGGATTAGGGGAAGGAGATTTTCCTTTATATATCTCTGCTTATTAGTTTTAAAAATAAGACTACAAACTCATAGTAAAGGTGGGGCAGGGAGGAAGGGGACATCTGCAATACTTTCAGAAATAATAAAAAAAAAGAGTAACAAAACAAGAAAAAAACAAAGAGCTTAATGAGTTTTACCTTGTTCTGGTCTTTCGCCATCATCACAACTGTTTATAGACCAACTGGTAGAAACATGCCCAGTCCAACCAGGATGTCTGCCCACATCTACTGACCAGCCAAGGGAGAGCAAAAATTCTAGGAAATGTGGCTGAACATTTCTGGAAGACTCCACATTCTTTAAAATCTGAAATACATATCATTCATCAGCTATAATAAAGGAAACAAGAGCATATCAAAATGAATCTTTATAAAAATCAGTTCGTTTGGAAGTATTTGACAAATAAAGTCTAAGTTCAGAATAAACTTGGCAATATACAACTGCAGTTAAAAAAATGCATGCTTTTGAGGTAGATTTGAGTTCAAATCCTTGCTGGGCCTTGGGCAAATTTCTTAACCTCACTGTGTCAGATTTTTCATCTATACCATGGGGATAATAATGATGACTGTGAAGATTAAGTGAGATAAAGCAAGTAAAGCCCTTAGCTTCCCCCCTCTCCCACCCCAGCAAAACACTTATTGAACCACACTTGTTTATTAAAAGTAAACAAAAAACACTTTGTCCCTGCCTTCACAGAGATTACTGGTTAGTGAAAAACATTACCTTTGTATGTGATCATTTAATTATAAATCTTGACAAATGCTATCAAAAATACAAATCTATTAAAAACTCAATAAAGGTTAGGTATAATAAAAGAGCATAAAAACATCCGTCTCTTAGTCCAAAGAAGAGCATGAAGTCATTCCAGAAAAAAATGAAGGACTAGAAGGTTCTCTCTTCTTCATTAAGTACCAAATTTAATAACTGGACTTTTTACTGGTCCACAAAAGAAAAGCCCCTAATTCTGAAACAGTGGTACTCACAGGAGTGAGTTTGCCCTCCAGGGGCCACTTGGCAATGTCGGGAGACATTTTTATTATCTCAACTGGTGGGGAGCTATTGGTATCTAGTGAGTAGAGGCCAAAGATGCTGCTAATTCCTATTTACAGGACAGATGCCTTAAGAAAGAATTCTCTTGCCCAAAATAGCAATAGTTATGCTGTTGAAAACCTTACACTAAAGAGAGGAAATGTGACATCCTCTACAAATTAAATGGGAGGTGGGGGAAGACAGAGGGAATGTACCAAAATCACCTGTGGAAATTCTTAAACCTAAGATTCTCTTAGCCCACTCCAGACCTTCTACATCAGAATCAGCAGGGGTAGTATCCTGGAATTTCTATTTTTAAAAGTCCTCCTGCCCTGAGATTGATGCAGCCAGTCCACATACCACTGATATAGTTCATACAATGCTAATCTATGTTAAGATCGTCAGGGGGGCCTGAAAAAAATCAAAATATGGGGTGTTACATTTATTTCTCAATCCACTGGGTATCACTGCCAGGCCATCTTCTGTCAAACACATGATCTCTTAAACACTTTTTAGTAATGTAACTATTTTGTTTACTCCTATCCCTTCATATATTCTTATAAGTGCCAGGAAACTGATTTGACAGCCAGTTCCAGTTTTCTTCCAATTAAAATTTGTATTCATAAGTGAAACTTTTAAATAAATAATTTCTGAAAATTGAGTCAAGATGCAGTAAGTGAATAAAATTCAACCTGAAGGCCACTGGCTGGCAGCCAGAAATTATTCTAAACCTACCCTGTGGCTAGGTCTCAGCCATTATAAAAGAGGCCTCAGAAAATCTTCATTGTTTCATAGTAGCCCTCACTCCCATGACAGCTAAGAAAACTAAAATAGTTTGAATTACCTTAAGGGTTTGAGTCTTCTTGTACAAGTAGGAGAAAAATAGTCCTATTATTCTCATACAAACCACGCATTAGACTTCCTTCCAAACAGATCCCCAATCCCTGCAATTAACCCAATTCTACTGAGGTTCTTCCAAAAAACTTGAGTCCAACAGTCTTATTCCTGGCTACCACAAGCCTACATTCTCCCAAGAACCAAGCATATTAAACTCTCAATGAATTTTGTAAAGACAGAGTTCTCTTTTACCTCCAGAGCCTTTATATATGCTATTACTTGGTTAGTGACAACCTGCTTCTACTTTTTATCTACTGCCAATGCATATTTCAAATACCAGTTTAAATGTCTTTTCCTCCAAGGACGACTTCTTGAAACCAGGTTAGGTGTTCCTGTTATGGAGCCTATAACATATTCCTATTAGCACACTTTTCTATGATTGTTCATTTAATCATCTGTCTTTCCCATTAAACAGCAGTTCTAGAAGGACAGAAACCTTGTAGAGCTGGTTCACACCTATAACCCTGGTACCTAACTGATTGCAAACTCTTTTAAAAATATATATATTTCTTTATTGACTTCAGAGAGGAAGGGAGAAGGAGAGAGAGATAGAAACATCTATGATGAGAGATAATCATTGATTGGCTGCCTGCTGCACACCCCCCACTGGGGAACGAGCCTACAACCCAGGCATGTGCCCTTGGCCGGAATCGAACCTGGGACCCTTCAGTCCGGAGGCTGATGCTCTATCCACTGAGCCAAGCCGGCCAGGGCGCAAACTCTTAATACTTATAGAATCAATTACATGAAATGAGAACTTTCTCATAAATCAATCTCCTTTTCTAGTAGGGCTCCAATACCCCCCACTGGGGAACGAGCCTACAACCCAGGCATGTGCCCTTGGCCGGAATCGAACCTGGGACCCTTCAGTCCGGAGGCTGATGCTCTATCCACTGAGCCAAGCCGGCCAGGGCGCAAACTCTTAATACTTATAGAATCAATTACATGAAATGAGAACTTTCTCATAAATCAATCTCCTTTTCTAGTAGGGCTCCAATAATTTGAAATAGTGCTAACAGTATAAATGTTTTGTGACTTTGTAAGTTTCTTAAGGTGTTCTCAATTTGATTAGCTAATGGTCTTACAATTACAGTAAAATTCCAAGATCTTATAGTCACAGTGCCCTACACATCTGTATACTGTTATTTTACAAATCTTCCTTTGGCCCTTTCCTAGTCACACTTGGTAAGCCTGCCTATTCCATGTTTCCACTATGCATTTCCAACAGACACTTCAAATCTCTTGCCGTCCACTGTTTTTCATTCTCACCTATCTTACAGTTTTCTTCACTCTTCTCCTACTCACTTTGTTACACGTATACAACCATGTTTTACTTAGTCTTCTGTTTTTATCCGCTATTTCAGGTGTTATTTTCCCCACTGCACACTATGCATAACTCAACTGAAATTATTTGCTTCTGAGATTACCTGGAAGATGAGCTCCTTTGGAGGAAAGACTGTTAATTATGCCTATACTCTGGCATGTTAAGCCACAGGGAAGATGTTCAGTAAATATACGTTGTGTTGTTTTACTCTAAAGCAATCAGGCCTAGATTTAGCTTTTTGTGGCTAACCTTTTGTATTTTAGTTTCTTTTGTCTTATGAATCTGAATTTCTTAAGAGGAAGAAAGACATGCTATATAGCTTGGCTCTAAATTAATTCATTGAGAGTCAAGGCTTGGGACTCCAAGCACCATAGTTTTCATTAATTCAGTCTCTGAACTGGTTCACAAGTCTTTAAGCATCAAATATAACTCATCTCCTACTACGGATAAGCACAAGCCATGTACAATTTTTTATATTCACAACCATACAAATTATCCCTCAAGTTCAGAAATCTTACCTCCTGGTTTGTTTTCTGACCTGGTTTCATATAGAAAATAAAAACTGTGTCGAAAGGACGACAGGGCAAGAGATCCAGATATCCAATGTCATCAAAAAATCCAGGTATTGTGGAGTCGAGTGCAATAAGGTGAGGAGGTAGACGACTATTTGCAGGTTCCTACCACCAAAGGAAGAAAGAAATTATTTCCTCTTTTCACTACTCTGATTATAAAAGCAATACTTGTTCATGGTTTAATAAATAGTAAATATAAACTTACAAAGTGGCAGGAATAAGCACACCATAATCTTAAACTAAAGAAACAATAGAACATTCTTGTGTACTTCCTTCCAGTTCTTGCATTTGCCTTTTTTTTGTTAAAGATAATTGAGATCATATGCATTTAATTTTGGATCCTATTTTCTCTATAACATATCATACTTTCTAGAAAACTTTTCAATGTACTTTTTTAAAAATCATTCATTGCTAGTGGAAATGCAAAATGGTAGTCACTTTGGAAGACAGTTGGCAGATTCTTGTAAAGCTAAACATAGTCATACCATACAACAGAGCAATTGCACACCTTGGTATTTATCCAACTGAATTAAAAACTTGTATCTAACAAAAACTTAAACACAAATGTCTATTACATAACATTTCTAGCAAGGGCTTGGGCAGCACCCTATAACCAAAGACATTGATTATTCACACTAAGTGAAATAAGTAAAGACTACAAATAGCGTCATGTCAATAGAGGCCAGATTTTGCCACTAACTGAATTTGCTACAAATGTACAAACAAACTTCTGGTTCTGAGTTTTTACTTTGAAATCATGAATAAGAAATTGTGGAGCTGTAGCATACTGTAATACAGCTTGTAGGGCAAAGCCTCCAAATTCTTTTCCTTTTAAGTAAGCTATTTCATTAGTTTGTTCTCCTGGATGACCTTCTAATCCAGGAGCATCATATGCACATCTTATATCTCTTAACTTTTAAAATTTTTCCTCTAGGTCCTGTGAAGTTTGTTAGGGTAACTTTTGTCAATATCAACAGCTGTAAATTAGGTATTTTTACACTGTATTTTTAAAAATATATATTTTATTGATTTTTTACAGAGAGGAAGGGAGAGGGATAGAGAGTTAGAAACATCGATGAGAGAGAAACATCGATCAGCTGCTTCCTGCACACCTCCTACTGGGGATGTGCCTGCAACCAAGGTACATGCCCTTGACCGAAATCGAACCCAGGACCCTTCAGTCCGAAGGCCTATCCACTAAGCCAAACCGGTCAGGGCTACACTGTATTTTTAACCAGACATTATAGCTATAGTAATTAAATTTTGTACTTGTTTGTGTGGTGCTCTTAATTCTCTCATTTAACCATTTTATTGATTCTCTTATGATTGTCTAATTAAACGCCATGTTACCTATGACCTGTCTTCTTTCAATAGTTTTTACCCCTTAGTTTAATATTTCATTGACTTTCCTGGTTTTGATGTAACTATATCTATGTAAGAGGTTACTATTGGGAGAACTTTCCTATACATTTTTTTTTTACAACTTTCTATTAATCTACAATTATTTTCTTTCTTTATTTTAACTGACTTTAGAGAGAGGAAGGGAGAGGGAGAGAAATAGATTTGTTGTTTCACTTACTTCTGCATTAACTGGTTGATTCTTGTATGTGCCCTGACCGGGGATCAAACCCGCAACCTTGTTGTATTGGGACGATACTCTAACCGACTGAGCTACCCGGCCAGGGCAATCTATAATTACTTTAAATTTTAAAAATTTCATTGACTAAATAATATAGCAGTCAAGGTCGATACTCTTTGCCTCTGATTTTAACAAGGGGTACTTCAAGTTTCTCATGAGCTACAAGTTAGAGAGATCTACATTACTAGTTCTATTTAATTTTTTGTTTGTATTTTTAAATCAGAATGAATACTATTCTATTAAATACTGACTTACTGTTTTAATGACTAATCTACTAATACAATTAAATTATTCTCTTAATTAACTTTACTAGTATTTCCCAATAACTAACTCTCCTTAAGTTCCTAGAATAAATCTTACTTGGTTGTGGAAGGTAATTTGCTTGACATGCTATTAAATTCAGTTTGACTAGCATTCTCCTTCATATACATATTTTTGTATATAGATTCATAAGACTGGTTTATAGCTTTTTTGTATGTGTGCTGTCAGGTTTAAGTGATTAGAAATACCCTGAGGTTCATACAATAAACCAGGAAACTTTCTTTTTCCTATGTTCTGACACAGATGACAAAGCATGAACATTATTTTTTTGAAAGCTTAAAAATTTTAACTAAAACAGATAACATGAATGGAAAATTACAATCTCAGGGACAGTGCTATTAGGACTCCTCTCATCTCCCTTCAGTCCACAGGATGTGACAATTTTCTCCTAGTATATTTTTATTACTGCTTTGACTCTGTTCAGTTTTCTTCATTAGGAATATCACTAATTATTTGTAGGATGTATCTTTGTTCCTTGCCTTCCATATTTGCCATTGTATTTTTCATTGTTTCCTGCCACTGTATTTCTCATTATTTCCTCTCTTCTCCTTTCTTCTGCATTTTAAAAGTTTTTATGCTCATACTCCCCATCACCAATTCACTTTTCTACAACAATAAAACATTTTCCATCTACATGCTGAAATCCAAAATCAGACACAAAGTTCTCCCTGCTTTCCTAAAAATGTTAAATGGCCTTTAACCAAGTAGTTGCTAGGGAGTAAGGGCAAGGGACAAGTTGTGCAATAAGCAACTTCTTGCTTGACAACATTCAGTTGTGCTTTTTAAAACAAAGTGGTCTTGGTACAGCAAACCCCAAATCCTCCACAGGCAGGCGGATTTCACATTTTAAAAATATTCTGTTTCCACATCTGTAAAATAGGACAGCATCACTTCCCTTGTAAAATTGTTTTAATTAAGAATGGCAATATTTACTTTACAGGCTGACTTACATTATGCAAAATACTTACTACATGAAGCATCTTAACATGACCATAGTGAGATGGATACTTTTGTTACCCCCATTTTGTAAAAGAGGAGCTAAGACTCAGAGAAGTCAGGCAATTTGCCCAAGACCACATAGTTGGCAAGTAGTGCTGCCAGGACACAAACCTACACAGTCTGATCTTAGAAAATGCACAACATAAGCAGTGCTTGGCTCACAAATATTTGTTCCTTTTTAAAAGTGCAGCATCAACTGCAGCCCATCCTTTCAGTAATAAATTTTACTAGGGAAAGATTTTTAAGATTCTTTTTCTAATTATCTGTAGGTGTCATTTATGTGTGATATGGGCCCTACATTATCCTGAAAAATTCAGAGCTAGATGTATTAAATTCTTTCTATTCTCATAAAAATGTTTTAGCTATCAATAGCTAAATGCTAGTTTACAAATATATTTACTCATAAAAGTTTAGGAAAATTACCTTCAATGCTTCTAAGGACAAAAATCCAAAGTGTGAAAGGAAAAGGCGTGCTGTTTGGAATTCCTGGGCAGGAGGTGGGGGCTTACAATCCGTAACTGGATCAGGAAAACTTCTCTTCTTCAATTCTTCCTCGCTTTGTTGTTCAAGGTGTATTTCATAAGCAATCTGCTGGGCCATTCCATTCCTTAATTTTTCATGTCTCTCTTCTAACTGAAAGAAGCCAAATATTTAATCTTTTGAAACTATTATAAAAGAAATAGGATCATTCTTAATTCTAAAATGAAAATAAAGCTACAAGCAACAAAGTAAGTAAAGATAATTTTCAGAGATCAACACTGAGTTTCAATTCAATACAGTGTATGCAACCAGGCAAACATGTTTCAAGGTTAAAACAAATACCAAAAAAACTCCCCTATAGTCTCAAGAATTGCTTCTCCATCTTCACCCTTTAAATGAAAGCACTGTCTCTGCTTCCCTTCAAGAAAAGGGGCAGAGTTGTTACTCTCATCCCTCTTCCAGACCACTGTCTATCTTCATTTTGTAGTGACCCCCCCCACATGTTTTGAAGTCTTTATCCATATGGATTACTCCACTAATTACTCTGAACTTCCCCTGACCCTTCCGATTCCCTTCCAATCAATTCTACTTTAAAATTCACCTTCTTTGGTGAGCAATGATCCTTCTAACAACCTGGCTTATACAGGGTGGGGGGAAAAAACAGGTTTACAGTTGTTCATATGGAAAATAATACAATAATTAATAAATAATAATACAAGAATAAAGTGTTTTACATACAACTGTAAACCTACTTTTGCCCCACTCTGCATTTCTACAATCTGCTCAATCCTTATAACTTTTGGCCCTCTATAAAGCACACTTTTGTATCTCAGATGTGCTTAACTTTCAAGAGTTATAATTCTGAAATTCCCTTCTCCAATCATAAGCCCCCTTTCCTGCTACCACACTTTCACTTTCCATCACTAGGAAGTATCCAACCCATCCCTGTATTTTCCCAGGCCATTAGCATCCTCTGGCTTCATCTACTTCCCAAACAATTCTAAACCCCCAAATATGTTAATACCCTTTCTTAAGCATAGAAATGGCTGTTGTTCCTTATTTTCCCATATTCTCATTCCTGTTAATCTCCACACCAAATTTTTTGCTTATGCCTCCAGATCCTAAGGACTTTTGAATGCCTCCAAATCCTAAGGACTTTTGAAGTTACTTACAACACAGTAAGTAACGTCACTACAAACAATGCTACTTAACCTTACCTGGGCTGCCTGGCAATTTTAAGAGCCATCTTTGATTCCCTATTTCACTGCTAAGAACTAAGATTAAAGTTTACATAAACTCCTTAAATTTTCCTCCTTTCTACCTCTAAATGTCTCTGAACCTTTACCTACTCTCTCCTTTTCTCCTGTCTTACCAGAAGTATCCCCTGTCTGGATACAATAATATAGACTCTTGACCCTACTACCTCCAGGGCCTTACTCTATTAATCATTTCCCTAGCCCATCTTATAGTGTTAGCAGACACAGACTTCCTCCACTGGTTCCTTCTTGTTGACCACTAAGCATGTTCATTTTCTTCTTATCCTTGAATTTTTTTAAAAAAGAAAAGAAGCACTAGCCAGTTTTGCTCAGTGGATAGAGCGTCGGCCTTGCAGACTGAAGGGTCCCGGGTTCAATTCCGGTCAAGGGCACATGCTTGGGTTGCAGACTTGATCCCCAGTGGGGGGAGTGCAGGAGGCAGCCAATCAATGATCCCCCCTCTCTCTCTCTCCCTTCCTCTCTGAAATCAGTAAAAATATATTTGAAAAAAAAGAAAAAGAAAAAACCTAGCCTTGCCTTTCCTTACTAGGCTTTATCCACTCTGTATCCTTCCCTTTACTGCTAACAGTATGGATTATATTCACTGCCTCTCATTAAACTTTCACTCCACAGCTCCTTATACTCTGTTGCCAACTTTAATACTCCTTTGAACCTATTCTCAAAGGGCAGGTACAATTTCATGCCAAAATCCTGGGGCCTCTTCTTAGTGCTCCTTCTCCCTTATCTCCCTAGCACTTGATAAGGTAGGCAGCCTCCATTTCTGCCCTTCTAGTCTCTCATGCCCTGACACACCTCTATCCCCAACTTCTTAAAATTCTTCTCCTTTGAACGAAAATATCAATTACTTAATCTAATTACTTATCTGAATTAATCTAAAGCCAAATACATTTTTCCTGTCTTCCCAAACCTGTCTTCTTCCTAATGCCCAGATTTCTATAAATGGTACCAATACCTTCAATTATAACACAACTAAAACTCAAGCTCAAAAATCTAAAGTTCTTTGGCTCTTTTCCTTCCCTCATCAAGACAGCTTGGACCTACCTCTACAATACATTCCAATGTTTTAACTTCCACTACCAGTGAGGTAGTCCTTCCTTTCTCCTGCCTGGATTGTCATAATAGTCTCTGAATTGGTCTCCTTTCTCCAAATGTCCTCCACTAGAGTCTGATCATGTCACCACACAACTGAAACCTGCCATGGACCAGCCTATGCAGCCCAGTGACCTCTCTCTAAGAGACACCAGTTCTGTTCAGTCAGCCACAATCTATACTTGTCTTACTATATAACCTCCTGGATGACAGAGATCCAAATCATCTTATGAATTGCCTCTAGTAACACTAAAAAAAGGCAGTGTCTTAAGCCTGGAAGTTGTTTAAGAATGTTTATAGTCATTCTCTTAACAACAGCTGACAATAATTCATCTTACTTCTTCAGTGACGATTTCATGCAAGTCTGGAATGCTCAGATCTGCTTTCACAAAAGGAATCTTATCTACTTCTTCAGGAAATGGTCGATGTTTCACAGTATATTTAAATCCAACATTATTTTTAGGAACTGGACGAGGTTCAGGCACAAAAAGCTGTTAAAATAAAACAAATAACATTATGTTTATTACATTTGGTGTCATCTATAATGACATGCATTTCCCTGGTCTCTTAGATGCCTATGTTTCTCTAGGATCACATAACACAAGAACTCAGTAAGAATCTGCAATTACCTTTGATAAATAGCCTGTGTACTGGTGTACTCTATTATATATTTGTAAGATTGTTCATCAAATTATTATAGATTTTGTGACTGATAAATGGGTTGTGGACCTATATTTCCCAGGCCTGAATCTCCTATGTTCAGTTGGAAAGCCAGTGGGTGAGGCATTTCAGAGCTTAAGGCTCAAACTTTCTTCTTCCCCAAGACTTCTCAAATCATTCCATAGAATAAAGTACAATTTAGGTCCACTGGGCATCACTACTCAGGGAGTTCAATTAGAATCTTAGTATGGCTTAACTGAAAGAGTATGGGCACCAAATCTAGGTCTTCATGGGTTTAAATCCCTACTTTTAACATATACAAGCTGTGAGACTTCTGTTTTTATATCTAAAAAAAATGTTGTAAAGATTAAATAAAAATGTATTTGGCACATATTAAACCATCAACAAATTTCAGGTCCTTTCCTAATCTCCTTTCTTCTCAGTCTTCAATGCTTAAGTACTACTGACAGAATGTGAGCCTCATGATGTTGCATGTGCTCCTCTCAGAGAGATGAACACATCTCACCCAACAGAGACATATAAGATATTAAATGGTTTTAGACACATACTCTAATTGCCCTTAAATGCTAGTGAAATTTTATTAAGTCATGTTTTAAACAATTTTTAGTAACATAAGTAAAAACTTACAATGTGCAGTATAAAAAATGACTCACATTCTATTTAAGTGTTATTGTGTACAGAAAGGAAAAAAAGACTGGGAGGAAATCCACTAAAATATTAAAGTGGCTATATACTTCTAAAGAGGACACAGGTGATTTAAAATTTCTTCATTATCTGAACTTTCCAATTCTTTTCTCCCATGAGCAAATTTTATTCACAAAATTACAAGTGTTATAAAGAAAATAAACTGCACCCTAGCTGGTTTGGTCAGTAGATAGAACGGACTGAAGGGTCCCAAGTTCGATTCCGGTCAAAGGCACATGCCTGGGTTGCGGGCTCGATCCCCAGTAGGGGCTGTGCAGGAGGCAGCTGATCAATGATCCTCTCTCATCATTGATGTTTCTCTCTCTCCCTCTCTGAAATCAATAAAAATATATTAAAAAAAACAAAACTGTGCCACTTGAAAATAAGATTTCATTCAATTATACAGCATATTAAGAAAATTATAGAGCACATTACCAATTATATGGGAATAAATCATTTGAAACAAGTCCTGTTACCAGGGAGATCAAAGGTCTAGCCAAACTCTTTTCATATATGGCGTGCACCTGAGTTTTATTATATTTATTTAACATTGCCCAGGGGGAAAAAAGGACAATTGTTCAGAATGGTAGTTCTTAATTATAAGTGGATACCAGAAACACCTGGAAAGCTTTTTAAAAATACATCTGCCTTGAAGATGTCTTTAAAGAGTAATTAGTGAATCTAAAAGTCTAGGCTCCTAAGATCATTTAAATATAAAGCCCCTGACTGAGACCCTGGTTAGGATAAAAAATATTTATTTTTTTCTGTGACTTTTGTGGGAACTTTTTAACCTTTAAATCATAGTGTGCACACATGCACATGCACACATACATATCCACACACTCACGCCTAGTCACTTCCCTGTAACTTCTGATGGATACCTTCTGATTTGCTTTTGCTCCTCTGGGTAAAAGGCAAAGCTGTTGTGCCCATGCAAGTCTTCCAGACATTCCCCGAACCAGCACAGTGACGGAGGGAAAAAAATCATCTAGAATAAAAAGATGTAAAAGGTTTTATTTCAGACAATCATTTAAAATACACCTGTTATCAACTGCAGAGCTTCTAATAAAGCCCAACACAGTGTTTCCCAAACTTTCATCCTTTGTGTACCACCTCTGTGGTTTCTCATATCCATGTAGTCTTATTTTATATGAACCACTTTCTTTCCTTTTTTTTTTAACTTAAATTTATTTTCAAAGGAAATTGTATATCTCTACTTTAAATAGAAAACCATAATTTTGGTGTGCTAATTATGTATTTTTTAACACATTTAAAAATACATAAAATACTAACTTCATCTCACATACCTCCAATGGTACACATACACATTTTTGAGAAACACTGTCCTGGCCAATATTTTTAACTTCCAATGTTGGGAATAACCCAAGTGCAGGAAGACAGACTAGACTGGTTGCTTGCAGTGCTGCTACATTCACCCATGTCTTTGTGTACCACTGTCCACTGAAGGCAGGCACTGTTCCATCCCACTGCAAGTTCAGGGGCAGGAAAAGGTAGGTAAAGAACTCAGGATGGACTTCCTGAGTAACCCAGATCCTTCTTCTTATTTCCTTTCTTAGTCTCCAGTGGGGGAGTCAAAGTTGTTCACAATTCTCTCTCATTTCCTCTATTAGCTATTACAATAAACTATTAAGATATCTTTGTAAATCTGTAAATCCTAATTGTTTTTTTTATTTTTGGTAGACTTCTGATGAAATGTAAATGTAAAAAAATCTGGAAAAGGCCAGGACACCCAGAGGGGATACTGGGATTTTACAGACTCCTCAGCAGGCTGTTTAGGAGTAGAAGGAATCATAAAATTAGGGAGAAGATAGGGAATAAGACTCAAGCAAACCCTAGGTCTGGGATAGAGAAGGAAGAGAGAAGACTTGGGACCAGCACTTCTGGAGTTGGGCAATTATTAAAAGCCCCATTTATTCCATATTAAAATCTCTGTATCTTACCACAACACAATGGGAACCTATGATGATATTCATTTACCCCTGAACTTCGGGGAAATGTCTAATTTTTCATTTTTATGGATTTATGAGATCCTACTTATATATTCTCTCAAGAATTTGCATGGGACTCTAAGACCCGTTCACCTTTGCGAAGGTAAGAAGGCAAATCTTTAAGTGAGAAAACCCTATCACTGAGGGGCAATGATAACAAAGGGACGGTATGAGGTTCAGAAAATTTGGATTCTAGTTCTAGTCATACTTCTCAAGTGGACAAGCCTCAGTTTCTTCACCTGTAAATAAGGGAACTGTACACTAGGTGATTCCCTGGGTCCCTGTATGCCCACAGATTCTGTAACCTTCACTTTCTTTCGCCTTTCTAGCAATAAGAGTCTGAGAACATGCTTCCTTTATATACTGGCTTTACATACATCAGGAAAAAAATGTATTTTCAGTAGTCTTGCTTATAGTGGTAATCACATACTTTGAGATGGTTTATATTTAGGGGAGGAAGAAGAGGAAAACAGTGAATGTTGTGTCCATAGAAAATCACTGAAGGGTTTTCAGGGCACTGGCATGGTCAGATCTGTATTTGAGGATGAATACAATGGTAGCAGCAAGAAGGATGGAGATAAGGGTAACAAATTTCGGAATTGGAAGGAGAGTGTATCAGACCAGACAGGAAACCACAGCAATGATCTAGGTAAGAAATAATAAGGCCCTGCATTTGAATATACTGGGAGAGCAGTTTAATATGGAATAGATGGGGCCTTTAATAATTGCCCAACTCCAGAAGAGAAAAGAAAAGAGTCACTGGGTAGGTAGAAATCAATTATATAAGGGAATAACAGAAAAAAACAGGCAAGACAAAGATGACTCCTCAAATTTCCACCTCTAAGGGTGAGACCAGTGACTGAAATAGAACACTGTGGAGTGGGGCAGGATCCAAAGTTCAAGAAGAAAGGAAAAGTAATAATGATTTTTAAACATAGTAAAAAAACAACAACAGAAAATGGCCCACTAAAATAAACATTTATAAAACTATAGAGGTCTTTTCTGATATTCCAGATACACATTAAGGGCCTCTAAAAGATTCTATATAATATGTATATTCCATTTTCTGACCTTCCGTTTTTCATTCGCTATTATCTCACAGCTAGACATCTTTCTGACAAATTCACAGTTGCTTAGAATTTGCATTCTTTCCTTCCCTGAAGGAAATAGCTTGCTCGTACTGATGAATATGATGATATAGCTGTGGAGAAAGCCCAAAGTGCTGAAACTTACTCTGTTCATTTCCAAGAGGCTGCTCCAGCATTGCCAGGATGACACTGTTATCCAGGACAAAGTACCGGAAGCTATGCTTGTTTATGGTTGGCAGCCTGGAGTATTTAATCAAAGTGGTCTCATTCACCAAACTACAAGGAGAGGCAGGACCACTGGGTGAAGGAAATGCACCAAGCAACTGCATAATACTATGGAGAATACAAAAGATAACAGTTAATTCCCACAGTAAAATCTTAAGTTTACCTCATGTGTCAATGTGTCCTTCTGCACTTTTGATTTTAATCGACCCGGCCATGCTTCCACTTTGCAGGTCAGATTTACTCCCTGTGGTGGATGCCTTGATGTGTCGTCCAGATTGCCCCCTCCACTGAAAGATTCACTCCCCTAGTTGCAGGAAGATGGTGGCCACAACTTTCAGCTGATCTCTTTCCAAGAGGTGCCCTGGGCCAACAAGAACCACCTCACCTAAGATCACAGCTACCTCCTGGGCCAGTCCATACCCAACGAATGGCTGATGCAGGGGTATAAAGTTTCAGTCCTCTTGCCCCAATTTCAGAAAACTCTGAAGTGCCAACTCAGTTCCAGATCTCTTTGTTGTGACTGCTCACAGTTTAGTTCTTCCCTATGAGGGAGTGAAGGAATATTGCTTCCTTCTCTCCTTCATAGGGGTTGATCCTGAGAGCACTTTCCAATAAACTTTTTTGCAAGCAAATTTCTCTCTCGGAGTTTGCTACCCAGGGAACCTAATCAACCACACTTCCAAAGCACCAAAAGATAAAGATACATTAAAAACTTTTGTGTGTTCCATCTTTCAAAATTATGCTAGCTAAAGCATTCTAGAGCTAGAAAAGGATAAACCAAACCCACTCAAATTTTCAGATGAGGAAACTCAGGCTCAGAAGAGATAAGTGATCATTTAAAAGACCAGAGTAGATATTGTCCTCATTTTCCAGGTAAGAAACTTGATGCATTAATAGTTACACTTTGCAAAACTGCTATAATTATCAAATGAGAAAATATATAAGAACTGATTTGGACATTGGAATTCAACTGATCAAGCCTTAACATTCAGATATGTTTATATTCATAGAGATTTTTGCATACATTCAACAAATAACATACATAACACTTCACACATTATTTTATTTAGTTACCATAGCAATCCTATGAGATAGATAGCACTATTATTCCCATTTTATAATGAAGAAATTGAAGCACAGAGAGAATGTATCTTGTAATGAAAACATAAGATTTTATCTTGTGGTCCTAATATTATTACCTGACCTTTCATATGTAACTCATTTGGAAAGGTAATATTCCCCAACACCACTTTTATCATCTCAATCCTCACCTTGAGTAGCATCTCCCTTTCTCTTTAATTCTAATGCTTGAACTCAAACATTTCTGATAATGAAAGGCAACATTGCTCAATATATTTTTTCCTTCTATTCTCTCTCTTCCTAAGAGGAGGACTATCTAAGAATTTCAAGGACCAGGAAAGTTTCATGATGGATCAAGCCTAAGGATTTGTGAATAATAGGTGACATACCAGTAATGGGAACATGTGGCTTTGGTTTTCTAAAAACGGGAAGATGGCTGTCACAAAGCATATGAATCATGTGAGCTTGCTTGTGTTCTATGCAAGGTTCTAAGACATTATCAAATAGGTTGCTCACCAGGGAATAGGTCACTAAGATCAAATCTCACCAGTCTAACCACATTTTCTCTTCTTGATGGTGACTAAACTGGAAAGGCAGAGAATTACCTTGAAATCAAGACATGTGAGTATTTGAGTGTATCATGATAAACCTACAGATAAGATTTTAAAATACCTGTGAACCTGAAGGAAAATTTCCTATGATGTGCTTTGTGAGTTTACCTTTCCTTCAATATTTTTATCAGTGCCTTTGATTAGGACACACAAGGTAGGCTCATTAAATCTGTAGTTGACCAAAAGTTGAGCTGCAGAGTTAATATACCAAAGCTGGCTGCCGAAACCGGTTTGGCTCGGTGGATAGAGCACCGGCCTGCGGACTGAAAGGTCCCGGGTTCGATTCCGGTCAAGGGCATGTACCTGGGTTGCAGGCACATCCCCAGTGGGAGATGTGCAGGAGGCAGCTGATCGATGTTTCTCTCTCATCGATGTTTCTAACTCTCTATCTCTCTCCCTTCCTCTCTGTAAAAAAATCAATAAAATATATTTAAAAAATATATATATTTCAAAGCTGGGATCCAAAAAAAATCTTAAAGGACTAAAATAAATAAATAAATAAATAAATAAATAAAGCAAACCTTACAGGAAAAAAATTTCAGGTTTAAATATAAAGTTCTGCCCTAGCCGGTTTTGCTCAGTGGATAGAGCGTCAGCCTGCGGACTGAAGGGTCCCAGGTTCGATTCTGGTCAAGGGCATGTACCTTGGTAGCAGGCACACCTCCAGTGCGGGGGGAGGGGGTGTGTGTGCAGGAGGCAGCTGATACGATGTTTCTCTCTCATCGATGTTTCTAACTCTCTATCCCTCTCCCTTCCTCTCTGTAAAAAATCAATAAAATATATTTAAAATAAATAAATAAAATAAAGTTCTGTACATTACATCCAAATGCCCTCCAACAGATGAAAGACTCAAAAGATTTTGCAGAATTAATGCAAATCAATAGGTTACCAAAAATCCAATGTAGTCTTCAAGTACATTTAAATGAAAATATATTTTACAGAGTCTAAAATATCAGTCCACATCTAGCATATTATACTCAGCAAATGATCTTTAAGAGGTGCATAGTCAAAGCTACGCCATTAAGAGGAGAATGACCAGGATGACAAAGGTACTTGGTTCCCCTGTCATATAAAAAATAGTTGAAAGTACTGGCAGAAATGAACCAGAGAACAAACATTGTCTTTCAGACATACTGTTTAGAAAAAAAATTTGAATCAGAACCAATGAGTAGGAGTTAAAGTGGGAGAGATTTCAGTTCAATGTAAACATCAGGTTTTTAACAATTAAAATGAAATGGGTAACCTTGGGGGTCAGATATCCCAGAATCAGAAGCTAAATAACAAGTCTGTCTTAAAGTGACTTAAGCGGAGGGGCTGCTGAAATGACTTCCAAGAGCCCTAATTCTGGATTTATATTAGTACACCAAGGGGAAAAACCCAAGCAGGCAATCTATACTCCATCATTATCAACTGTGTGCTCAGCACTGTGCATGGTGTGAAGAACAAACTTGGCCTCTACCCAGGTTGAGAAGAACACTGGCATGTATCAGACATAACCAGGTATGAGAATTCCATGCTCTACAGTAGGGTCAGACTGAATGAGCATCCAGGTACAGAAAAGAGTCATCATGCAGAAGCAGAACAACCAAAGAAGGTCCCATGGAGGTAGCTAGATTTGAGGTGAGCACTGAACAATGGAAGACGTGGCCTAGAGAAGAGGGAAGTCCTGAAAACCAGGGGTCGTATATAGACAGGTATGAGTATGCCCTGTTCACGGCCATGAGTGGCTTTCATGGCAAAACGGATGTGCTGTGAAAGATCAGACAGTTCAAGTGGGGGAAGAATAAGGAGGCCCTTGAAAACCAGACCACAGCATTCACAGAATATTCTGTTTTCTATCACTCAAGCAGCAGAATAAGAAGTTCAGCAATAGAATGCAAAATGAACTAGAAAGGTAGAAGACTGAAAACAGGAAAATCAGGCAAGAAGAAAGGGTCTCGGCCAAGATGCTATCTGAGGTTAGAGGAAATGGAGGAAACACTTTCGAAAGTAAAGTTTATTAGACTCAGTCACTAGCTTCATATGGGGAATGACATATAAATAAAAAAAGCCAAAGTTCTGTGTGCATAACTGGAAAACAGCAGTGATACGGACATAAAGCTATAATTGTAAAGGAACAGAGAAATTTGGTTTTGGACATATTTCATGATGATAGGACTATTCAAAGCACTCTTCAAGATTGGATAAGTTGCCAGTAGAGACAAGACTAGATCCGGGAGTCGCATCCCAGGGCTCTCTTCTTTTATAATGCTTTTAAATCTATTTCTATTAGTACACCAAGGGGAAAAAACCGTCCAGGCAATCTCAACTGTGGTCTTCTCTCTGAACGTTTATTATTTCTAGTACTCATTCATATTTTTCTGATTTTCTAGCTATTAGCCAAACCTTCACAAAGTCACTAAGAGCCAGCATTAGCATAGTAACAGGACTAAACTAAAGCCAGTACACTTTTAAAACTACTGAATGACCTAAGCCCATGAGAAACAGAAAAAAATCCAACTTTATTGTATGTATCCTAAGTTATCAACACACCACTGAACTCCAAAGATTCTGAAATCTTGGTAAGGGCTGATTTATGTACATATCTTCAAGCAGTCTTACCTACCACATTACTAAGCCCAAGATAAGCCAACCCAGACTGACATGACATTGCTCCTTCCTGCTTTTTTATTGGTCTGGGTCTTCATCTACATTTATCCTGTGGTAAGCACCATCTTTCCACCTGTACTGATTCAACCTAATCTTCTCCACTTACCTCTTCCTCACAGTTCATAAATGTGCCTAAATTGCCTTCTTTACATCCTTCTACTTTCATCACTTATCAGCCAAACACAAAGTCTTTCAACTCTTTCTGTTACTTTTTACCAACCTATCTCCATTCCTTCACTACTAAAATACTGAACAGGAATCTTCTCTTGCTGACTTACCCAACCTGGAGTCTGGCTTATAGCTCAAACATTACTCATCCTCTAAAAGTTAGGTCCAATGTCATTTTCCCCAGGAATCTTATTTCGATTTGCCCTTATCTGGAAGTATTCATTTCCTCCTTCCAACTCCCCAGCATTTTATTTGTACTTCCTTCTCTTTGAGCACTTATTGTCCATGTAATAGTACAGCTAATTGTGTTTATATTTTACCTTCCCTAGTGGATAAGAAGCTCTATGAGGATGGTAAATCTGATTTTTCATTGTGATCCTATTACCAGTTCATAAGAGGAAGTTCCTAAAACTTGGATGAATGAACCTTTAATATAGTATAATATAAATGGTGTAACAGAGAATACAGACCACTGAGCTAGAAAGCAAGAGACCTGACAGTGTGACCCAGACAGATCCTGTCTCTGGATGCAGGCATCAAGTCAGGATGTGGAATTAGGCTCTCCAAAATCCTTTCCAACTCTAACATGGTATGACCTGAATTAATGTCAATCAACATAAAAAAAGGACCTCAACTCTCAGGCCCAAGTCCCTGGTTTCTTTCCGTCAAAAAAAAAAAAAAAGACATTTTCTTCCCTAGTTTATTTCTGTAGAAAAGGTATCCTAAAGGGGTTGCACCACTTAATGCTAAAAAACTGAGGAGGAGAAAAAACAAGGATTACAGCTAACCCCAACAAATTTCTAGGCATATTCCCTATGCAGTCACTTTCATACCATGTTAGGGTGGCTTCAGCAGCATCCTTTACCCTCATAGAAGCAGGGTTTGGCTCCTTATCTCCTTTGTACTTGACCTCTTGCTCACTGCTCTTGGACTTACTTCCCGAAATACCCAGTTCCACAATCTCCAGTACTTCCTTAAGACAGTCCTAGAAGCAGGAAAGGCGAATCAGTTTTTATAATACACCTATCTTATAAGACAAGGAAACACATCAAATGTTAATAGTGGTTGTGTTCTGGTAGTGGGGCTCTAGTTTCTTTCTCATTTTCTTTAATAGGTATATATAAATTTCATAATAATAAACTCCCCCCAATTTTTTTAAAGAAATAAATTTGAGTGTTCAGAGAGTTAGATAATAAGTAATGATAAATTCAATTCAATTTTATTAGTCATAGTTCTTACAAAACTACCTCAGATTATAAATCATGAAAGCCCAAATGAAAGAAATGTAACTGTAATCTATTAAACCTGGATGGTTTAAAACATGCTAGGTTATCCAAAGGGAAGTTCATCAATTATTGACAGTTTTAAGCAATTTCTGGTATCATAACTTTAGAAGCCTTAATGAAAATGACTAAGATTTAATAAAAAGAATTATTTTTTAAACTGCATAAGGCTCTAAATAAATATCCACTATGCTTGATATCTCTTCTTTTATTTTCACTGTGAATTCACTCTGCCTGCCTCCCCATAAAAAAAAGTATTACATAGAATAATGGCAGAGAAAGCAGCCTAGATATCTGTGCCCCCACAAAAGCAGGGAAACATGCGTGAAATGAAATTTTTAGATACAAGCAACCTTTGCAGACCAGCCTTGCTTTAGGTTGGTCGCCTGGCTATCAATTGCCTTTCTTGGTTTGGTAATGGGTTACCAAAGTGCCTTCTGGCCATCTCAAAGCTATCACCCTTTTAAGAAAGAACATTCCCACCCTAGCCAGTTTGGCTCAGTGGTAGAGCATTGGCCCATGGACTGAAGGGTCTCGGGTTCAATTCTGGTCAAGGGCAGGTACCTCAATTGCAGGCTTGATCCCGGCTCTGGTCGGGGCATGTGTGGGAGGCAACCTAACGATGTGTCTCTCTCACATTGATGTTTCTGTCTCTCTGTCTCTCCCCCTCCCTTCCACTCTCTCCAAAAATCAATGGAAAAATATCCTCAGGTGAGGATTAACAAAAAAAGAAAGAAGAACTCAAATAAATGAGTCAAGTCCTCTTCTTTTAATAGAACTTCTCTATGGGTTCATTTGCAACCAAATATAAGTATGACAGTTTTTGAATTGTGCTCAAAAGGATAAGTGTTCTATTGAAATATAACAAGTACATTCAGTTTAAAGTATGCAATATAGTACTTACATTTATATATTCTCTTTTAAAAGATATTTTCCCAACATACATTTTATTTCTATTTATTGTTTTAAGATGTAGTAAACTAACCTTTTCATCAAGCATGTCAGGATGCTCTGTCAGCCAGACACAGAGACATTGAAAAGCTGCCACTATCATGGAGTGCAGGTCCCGGGAGTGATGAGGAGCTGGCCGACTACACTGGTACACAATGTAGCTGCAGACAGAACTGATGGCTCGTTTCCGGTCTCCGGAATCAACCATCACCTTCACCTGAGCATATTCATATGGGGAACACAGTTAGCCAGGAACCATTATACCAATTTTAAAGCATCTGCACTGAGGCCTGGCCTTTCTGAGAATGTAACACACCACAGGAAACCTTGCTTCTAAAACATTATTTATATAGGAAATCAGACTATTCATAGGTATTATAATACTCTATATAAAAACAGAGGGCATTTTTCAAATCTTAAAGTAGTATCTCATTTTAGTATATTTTTTCATGCCCTAAAACCTAAACTCATAGGATGCATCTACTCACCATTGCCAGAGATCAAAAGAATAGCTGGCAATAGAACATGTACACATTTTTTGAGCCCCCCAACCCAATCCCACAATGATGTTATGGGGCTATAAAGTTCTATGGGCAGCTGCCCAGAGGTATAATCAACATACAGTAAACTAGACATATTTAAAGTGTACACTTTAATAAATTTTGGCATAAGTATATATGTGAACTATCACCACAATCAAGATAGTGGATATATCCATCACCCCCAAAATCTCATGTAGCTTGTAATCCTTCCTCCAACTCCCTTTATCCTCCTCCCTAGATTACTGATGATCTGCTGTCACTATAGGTTAACTAGCATAATTATTTTGAGATTTATCCACAATTTTGGGTATGTGTATCAAATGCTCATTCCTTTTTATTTCTGAGTAGTATTCTACTGTACGGCTATTGCACAATTAATCCAGTCACCCACTGACTGACATTTGGGTTGTTTCCGGATTCTGGGTATCTATAATAATAAAAGCACAATATGCTAATTAGACCAGACATCCTTCCAGACCACTTTCTGGACAAAGCTGGGGCTGCAAGAGAAGCCTGGGTCCCAGGTGCCTGCCGTTGGCCAGAGGGAAGCCCCGGTCCTGGGTGCCATAGGGAAGCTGGTGCCAGCAGCCGGGGGAAGGAAGGCCTACTCTTGCATGAATTTTGTGCATCGGGCCTCTAGTCCTATATAATAAAAGGCCAATATGCAAATCGACTGAACAGCAGAACAACCGGTCACTATGATATGTACTGACCACCAGGGGGCAGACACTCAACACAGGAGCTGCTCCCAGGTGGTCAGTGTGCTCCCACAGGGGGAGCGCCGCTCAGCCAGAAGCCCTGAGCTGGGCTCACAGGCTGGCAAGCACAGCAGCAATGATGGGAGCCTCTTCCACCTCTAAGGCAGCGCTAAGGAGCAGCGAGCCTGGCTTCTGGCTGGTGAGCGCAGCGGCGGTGGCAGGAGCCTCTCCTGACTCTGCTCCAGGTGGGTGGTAAGGAGTGAGGGGTCCCAGACTATGAGAGCCCCAGATTGTGAGAGCGATGTCTGACTGCCAGCTTACGCACAATCCCCAGGGATAGGGCCTAAGCCAGCAGGCGGACATCCCCCAAGGGCTCCCAGACTGCGAGAAGGCGCAGGCCGAGCTGAGGGACCCGCCCCCCCCCGTGCCCCCTGAGTGCACGAATATCGTGCACCAGGCCTCTAGTTACAAATAAAGTTGCTATGAACATTCATGTACAAGTCTTTGTATGGATATATGCTCCTAGTAGTGGAGTGATTGGGTCATATGATAGATGTATGTTTAACTTTTTAAGGAACTGCCAAGCTGTTTTCTAAAATGGCTGTCCCATTTAACATTCCCTTCAACAGTATTGGAAATTCCAGTTCCTTCACGTCCTCACCTACATTTGGTATGGTCAGTCTTTTCAATTTTAGCCATCCTAATAGGTATGGAGTGGTAACTCATAGTGTTTTAATTGCATTTTCCTAATAACTAGTGATATTGAGCATCTTTTCATGTGCTTATTTGCAATATGTATATTTTCTTTGGTAAAGTGTCTGCTCAAATCTTTTCCCCATTTTTTAATTGGGTTGTTTGTTGTATTAATGAGGGGTTTTGTTGTTATTATTGTTTTGTCTTTTTAAAAGATGTTATTAAAGGTCTTTACAAAGCAAGAACCAGACTATCCAGATCCAGCTGCTAAGAAGAACCTGTTGTGCAGCAGGAACTGGCTAGAGCATGGCAGGTAGCTCTGGCTTCCTAACCTTATGTCCTGAGATAGATAGTGGATAGCATCTCATCTTTAGGGTCTACAATGTTCATGTGGTTAGACAGGGACTTAGGGCCAATCTTATCATTTGGGTCCCAGGATAGCATGATCTTCACTTTGATGCCCAGCACACCTATCTGAGCACATATGGCACATGGTGGTACTGATATAGCTAACAGGGTCCCCACTGTAGATCATCAGACCATCCATAAACTTCATGGATCCAGCCCCTGTCTTTGGAGTTTCCCTGACACCAGGACCTTGTAGCCCTTGGCCCCACTCTCCATGATGAACTGCAGTACCCCACAGCAGGCTCTCAACACAGCAACCCCTCCTGGAAGTTTGTAATGCAGAGACTCTGTGCAATGGCACACAGACCTCTAATGGCTACCTCAACTTCAGAAAACTCTACAACAAAGCCCTCAGGGAAACTAAACTTCTAAACTACATCGGTCAATTCCTGGACCCACTGGTCCTTCTCACAAAGAACATTCTGCATCTCAGAGGCCAAGGCAATGATTTCTATGCTGGTTGATAGAAGTCAGATCTCAATTCCAGGGTAGCACCTTCAGCAAGCCTCTAAGTGAGAACTCATTCAGTTTAGCTCTGAAAATGCCATCAACAACAAATTTTCTCTTCTTGGAAATTTGCACCACTATATTGCTATCATGCACCCAAAAGCAAAGGCTATTACTGAGTTTTGAGAGTTCTTTATTAATCTGGATATAAGTCCCTCATTGGATATATTTTGTAAAGATTTTCTCCCAATCTGTGTTTTGTCATCTCATTCTCTTAAGAGTATTTTTTGAAGAACAGTAGTTCATAACTTTGGTGAAGTCAAATTTAATAGTTTGCTTTTCTATGGTGCAATATGTAAGAAATCTTTGTATAACCTAAATCTTCATTAAATAACAAAGATTTTCTCCCATTCTAGCAGTTTTATAGTTTAGGTTTTCTATTTAGGGCTACAATCCATTTTGAGTTAATTTCTGTACATAGTGCAAGGTATGAACCAGTTCTTTTTTTATATATGAACTAGAGGCCCGGTGCACAGATTTGTGCACCAGTGGGTTCCCTCAGCCTAGCCCACTTCATAAAACTTCATCTGTTTTATGTCTATATACAGTTATATATCTACAGATCTATAATTATCCTAAATTATCCTAAATGGCCTGATCCCCTCTCACAATCCAGGACCCCTCGGGGGATGTCAGGGAGCCGGTTTCAGCCCGATCCCCGCAGGCCAGGCCCAGGAACCCCACCAGTACATGAATCTGTGCACCGGGCCTCTAGTATGCATGTAAGATCTTTGGTTAATCTCTTCCCACCCTCCACTCTCCCTCCTCCCTTCTGAGATTCATCAGTCTGTTCCATGTTTCCATGCCTGTGCTTTGAGCATCTGCCCCCTAGTGGTCATTGCGCATCATAGCTACCAGATGGTCAGCCGGTCACTTAGACTTTTATATATATAGACTGGTGGCCCGGTGCACGAAATTCGTGCATGGAGTGGGAGGGTTCCCTCAGCCCAGCCTGCACCCTCTCCAATCGGACATCCCTCTCGCAATCTGGGACCACTGGCTCCTAACCACTCACCTGCCTGCCTGCCTGCCTTATCACCCCTAACTGCCTCTTCCTGATTGCCCCTAACCCCTCTGCCTATCTGCCTGATCACCCCTAACCTCTCTGTCTGCCTGCCTGATCGCCCCTAACTGCCTCTGCCTGCTGGCCTGATCTCGCCCCCAACTGCCTCAGCCTGCCTGATCACCCCTAACTGCCCTCCCCTGCATGCC